CACTCACTCACTCACTCACTCACTCACAGACAGACAGACACACTCACACTCACTCACTCTCACACAGACAGACAGACACACTCGCACTCACTCGCTCGCTCACTCACTCACTCACACTCACTCACTCACTCACACACACACACACACAGACAGACAGACACACTCACACTCACTCACTCTCACACAGACAGACAGACACACTCGCACTCACTCACTCACACACAGACAGACAGACAGACACACTCACACTCACTCACTCACTCACTCACTCACAGACAGACAGACACACTCACTCACTCACTCACTCTCACACAGACAGACAGACACACTCGCACTCACTCACTCACACACAGACAGACAGACAGACACACTCACACTCACTCACTCACTCACTCACTCACAGACAGACACACTCGCACTCACTCACTCACACACACAGAGACAGACAGACACACTCACACTCACTCACTCACACACACACAGACAGACACACTCGCACTCACTCACTCACACACAGACAGACAGACACACACACACACACACACACACTCACACTCACACTCTCACTCACACACAGACAGACAGACAGACACACTCACTCGCACTCACTCACACTCACTCACTCACTCACTCACTCACTCACACACACACTCACACTCACACTCTCACTCACACACAGACAGACACACTCACTCGCACTCACTCACACTCACTCACACTCACTCACTCACTCACACACAGACAGACAGACAGACACACTCACACACACACACACACTCCCACACGCACAGACAGACACACTCACACACACGCACATAAACACACACTTAAAAAAAAAACTAAATTCCTACAATTGCAGATTTATGTTTTATTTAGTTTGTTAGCTATATGATGTGTCAGATTTCACGAATGTCATAACTCCTACAGCTACAGCTTGGCCTCAGTCCTGAGGGTTTTTAACGCTGCGTTTGTGTTTCAGAGGCGTGTGAGCGTTTCACGTTACTGGTCTTGATGGACGCTGTTACCGTCGCCCTGCTGCTCTTCTTCTTCTTCGCTAGATCCCCTTCGCTCTCCACCGTCGTCTCGCGCGATCATGACCCGCTCTCCAGCGCCGCGCGCCGTGCTGGGATGTTTGTCATATTTCAGTCTAGAATCATTATGGTCGTTTTTTATTTAATTTTTAAATTTAATAAAATGTTGATAAAATGATGGTCGTTTCCATATGGTTATAGTGTTTTGTTTAGCGTAATTAAGTCAAACATCATGTGCAAACCAAACACGAGGATCATTATATAACGGATTACATGGCATTCATGATTGATTCGATATTGAAATATTTCATTAAATCTGTAGCTGAGTTATTCTCTAAATAATGATTGTAGAAGGAGCTGTAACCAACATAAAGGAGCTCAGGTGTTGTTTAGTGTGCAGCACATTTGGCCCAATCAGAGACGAGTGAACGCACATCCGGTCACGTGACTCACGCTCCAGTTAAAGTCACGTAAAATCACTGATGATCGCATACACATAAACTAACACCTGTGAAAGCAACATAATGAGCTTTTGAACTCGCACGTGGATTCAGAGATCTGATATATAAAAGATATTTCAGTGCATGCTGAAATAGGAAAAACAAACTTTTGAACTTGAGCATTGATGAGCATTTAAAGTGAACTGATGTGTTGTAGCTGTTCTCAGCTGTGGATCTGACAAACAGGAAACAGCAGGAGGCGACAGGAAGCCATGAAGAGCTTCACACTATAATTAGCAGCGTGGACATGTGCACCCCTGAGCATCATTCCTGCACGACAGACGCTAAACCAAGCGCTTAATATCTGCTTTGATCCAGCGATGACACACGTTCACAGGAGAATATGGACTGTATTGTCATTTTTGGAGAGCCGCTGATCTCAGATCGTTTGCAAAAATCTAAAGATTAAATAAACACTCTGAAATCTCATTACTGAGTCTATATCTGCTTGTAGAAAAAGTGTGAAAAGCTCAGTCGTCGTTCCAGTCGTTCATACAGAGCAAGTTCCTTTTTTATGGCAATGCAGTGTTTTATTATTGTTGTGTGTAATACTTGCAATACCTCTGAAGCATCTTACAATGCATTACACCTGCTGAATACACCGACTAGCTTGTGGTGTCTGTGGAATAAAGAGCTTTTAGGATGTTAAAAACCTATAGGAACGAAACGAGTGAGTTTTTTGTAGCCATTCCTCCACATGTGAACCGAGTGGACAGTGAAACTGCTGCAAATACAGACTGATAAGAAAAAAACCCAATCTGCTTTAAAACCCAGCAACACTGTAGCTGTGTAACTTTACAACAGCAACACTGCTTATCAAAAAAGCAAAACAGCAACAGATTTATATCAAAACACAAATGCTGTCTAATGGCTTTGATGCTGTACACAGAACAGTCAGTGCAGTGCTGCTTCAAGTCCTTCTGTGGCTTTATACGAAATATTTTCGTTCACACAATTTTGCAAAATCAGACAATATTGTGTCTAATATGTGACGCTGGACCACAATACCAGCAGAGCAGGAGATCTGCAGAGACAAGTGTGATGGATTTGTGCAGTTATGACCTAATACATTCTGTAAAGCCACAGTTTCCTTCTTTTCTCACACATTGCATCTGTTTATACTATATTGCATGCATTTATAATATGTGACCCTGGACCACAAAACTAGTCATAAGGGTCCATTTATGGAAATAAGCTGAATAAGTAAGCTTTGCATTGATGTATGGTTTGTTAGGATCGGACAATATTTGAAAATCTGGAGCTTGTGGTGTCTGTGGAATAAAGAGCTTTTAGGATGTTAAAAACCTATAGGAACGAAACGAGTGAGTTTTTTGTAGCCATTCCTCCACATGTGAACCGAGTGGACAGTGAAACTGCTGCAAATACAGACTGATAAGAAAAAAACCCAATCTGCTTTAAAACCCAGCAACACTGTAGCTGTGTAACTTTACAACAGCAACACTGCTTATCAAAAAAGCAAAACAGCAACAGATTTATATCAAAACACAAATGCTGTCTAATGGCTGTGATGCTGTACACAGAACAGTCAGTGCAGTGCTGCTTCAAGTCCTTCTGTGGCTTTATACGAAATATTTTCGTTCACACAATTTTGCAAAATCAGACAATATTGTGTCTAATATGTGACGCTGGACCACAATACCAGTCATAAGGGTCGATTTGTTGAATCTGAAAGCTGAATAAATAAGCTTTGCGTTGATGTATGGTTTGTTAGGAGAGGACGATATTAGAAAATCTGGAATCTGAGGGTGCAAAAAAATCTAAATATTGAGAAAATCATCTTTAAAGTTGTTCAAATGAAGTTCTTAGCAATGCATATTACTAATCAAACATTAAGTTTTGATATATTTACGGTAGGACATTTACAAAATATCTTCATGGAACATGATCTTTATTTAATATCCTAATGATTTTTGGCATAAAAGAGAAATGTATAATTGTGACCCATACAATGTATTGTTGGTTATTGCTACAAATATCCCCCAGCGACTTAACACTGCTTTTAACTTCCTATTATTGAATTGTTGTAAATAAATATCATATTTCAGTGTTCAAAAACTGCTGGGAAATCACTTCACGTAGCCCTAAAATAGTGATTACTGATAAACTGTCAAAAGTGTCGTCTCACAGAAGAACAAATCAGCCACTGGCTTTCAAAGCTGCTGCATAGCAACGACTTTCTACTTCGAGGAGGACTTTAAGAGAAATGTAGTGGAGTGAAAAGTATGATATTAGTCTTTCAAGTCATAAGTTTCCAGGAAAAATGACACTCAGGTAGAGTTCAGATACTCAAAAAGTACAGGAATCAAGTAAATGTGCTTCATGGCTGTCCAACTCTGTATCTTCCCCACAAAACTCCTCTGAAATATCACCAACGATATGTTTATTATTACTGTAACTAGTTACACTGTTTATGAAACAGCAAACAGGATCAGGGTTAAAAATGAGCAATCACAACCGTGAACTAATGATCCGAGCTACTGTTGTGTGTCACAGGAGGAGTGTGTGTGTGTGTGATGAAGAGGAGACGTCTCTGTTAATGATGGTGAGTGATATCATCATCAGCTCTGTCTGTGATTGGTCTGAGGGAATGTAATGTGTGTGTGTCACTGATCAGGATGACGGGAACAGACGCGAGCGGATCAGACCTGCACACACACACCTGGATGAAGGTGTGTATAAATCACACGATTCACAGTCACTGATGACTCACGGGACACAGTGTGTGAAATACATGCAGAGACGAACCCATAAGACATTAAAGATTTGACACTGATGTCACACATTGTAAATAATTAGGTCATATTGTGCTTATTAATGAAGGGATTGTCAAGCCAGATTTATTTCTATAGCACTTTATACAATACTGTTTCTTTCAAAGCAGCTTCATGGAAATCAACATGAAAATAACAGATTCAGCTGTAAAGCAGCTCTGCAGAAGACAACAGAGTCATTATTTAGATCAGCTCTGTTGCAGAAGTTCATCAGTTATGCTCAACGACTTCGAGAGCACACAGCAAAAACTGATTTTCTTCCTCAGTAAAAATATCTAAGCATTCTTAAATCAAGATGCCTTTACTGCTTAAAACAATACCAACATCTGCCGAAGGGGTCAGAAAAAAAGCAACTTAATTCAAAGGGAACAGGAGATTATTTTTCTGGCCACGCTGGCTGATATTTGTTAAAGATGTAATATCTATGCCATTGACCTACTCAAGTAAATGTTTCTTGATTTAAGGATTCCTAGATATCTGCAATGACAAAAACAAGACAAAAACACTGAGGGGGAAAAATCAGTTTTTTGCAGTGCATACTTTGAGTTGAAATCATCTTCATGTTCAGGTCTCTCTGATGTCTCCATCTAGTGGCACAGATCAGTCAGTGCCACTCAAACACATGAGGAGTGTTTCATTAATGATGTGCAGCCTTCAGCACATTTCAATGTTCATTAATACTGGAATATATTATCTACCGCAGTCTAACTGTGTGTGTGTGTGTGTGTGTGTGTGTGTGTGTGTGTGTG